TGATGACATTCAAAGAACAGCAGAGAAAAATGTAATACATACTTTTTAATTGTAATTTATAACTATTACAGTTGTACTAGCAATAGTTAGAATATCAAGTACCGGTATTATGTAGAGGGTGGTAGTTTTTAAAAGTATGTACACTTAAGTTTGAAACTTCTGGAAAATGAAAGTTTAGACTTGACTCCAAGATTATCATATGAGATTACTAGCAACAGCTAATGCCAAGGTTCTGTTTAGTTTTAGTTTCAACCAGATTACCTTTATGACTTTGGAAAAGGTCATAGAATTAATAAAATGTGTTAGATGTCTTCTTTCAAAAGCTTGTCATATACATGTAGTCCTGATTGATTTTGTGATTCTTGGCAGCTATGATGAGCTGATGCATGAAGAGCGAACATGCCTACAAGAAGTAGCAGCAATGGAGAAAAAGTTTGATTCTTGGTCACAGTTGCCTGCACCTGCAACAGCTGCTGTTGATGTAAAGAAAGCAGCTGGGGCTATTACAGTTTCACTGCCACCTGCAGTTGCAGCATTTGAGGTACTTTGGATTAGAAATGTTTATATGACCTGTAAGTATCATAATATGTATTGAGCTTTGATGAATCATGCAGTGGGTGTTGATGTAGTCATGAGTTGTCTCTTTGTACTGTGTTTTTACCACCCAAGTGTAATTAACACTGGCCTATTGCAGAGATTCTTGGCGCAGACTGGTGGACACAGTGGAGGTTGGGATGACTATGATCAACAACTCTTCTTAAAGCTTAAGAGCAAACACAAGGTATAAAATGAAAAATTTATTTTAGATTATCATTGTTTTTATAAAACAAGGAAGTACTTTCCTCATAATGGAGATTTATTGGTTTTTCTCAAGGTGCAGTTACTTCTAGTGTGGATGCAAGAACTTTACTTCTTGTTTCTAGTCTTTTTCAGTCTATTTGGTATCAGCTTATAAAGAATTGTGTTCTTTTGTGATTGGCTGGTTTTTAATTGTTGTAACGACACAATTTGGCAGTTGGTTGACTCTCCTGTTTTTGTTCTTCTTAATTGTGGGAATCCATGCTTCTGTAATTTTAGTGTTGTCACAGTGAAGCCTTATATGAGTTGCCTCTTTTACCCTGCTTGCATGTATTCATCACAATGAATAACCACAACCTTTTTCACAATCAAATACTATGGGACTATCTATAGAACCATGAAGCTTTCATGCGAGCTGCAGGATCAGAGATTCCTGGAAGAAGCATTGATGATGTGCGACAGCATGATGAATGGTACAGCGAATACTTGATACTCAAAGAAAGTAAAAAGAAAGCCATCCAAGAATGGAAATACAACAAAGAGGCATGTATCATTCACACTTGTTCCATTTAGCAGCATACCCTGTTCCTCACTTTTAGCATGAGTGTCTTAAAGACTTACCTAATTCTTTGGTTAAGTCAGTAATGACACACCAGTTATTCATCAGACATGGTGCATAGCTGACTTCAGTTATTGCCTAGCGCAGTGTCTGCTGATGTATTGATTGTATGTTGACTGACAGTGGGGTCATCTGTCAATGAATGTTTTAGAGTAGAGACAACTTTTACCTTTAACTTTTTTAAAATGCTCATAAGTGTTTTGCAAAATTTTCCCACAACATACCAATACATTTTCTCACTGAGAGGCAATGAGAGTGAACAGTATTATCAACTGGAGAGTGTTTTGTAGATATGCATTAAATTCTCCCAAGTATTTTATTTGGAATATGTTGAATATAGAAGGGAGAATAACTAGATAATCAGTTATCAAGTCATGAGGGTTAATTGGCGTCATTTACTTCTAGACTTCTTCAGTTGTTTTTCTACTGGATGGATAGTCTTGGACTCTATAATCAAACATAGGTTACAAAACTATTAAGTATTCATTTAATTTGTTTTCTTGTAACAGACTTGTTTTGGTTTCCAATAGGCAAAGAAAGATGACTTGTTAAAAGATGATGAAGATGAATTGGAGGAGGAAGAGA